GTGGCCAAGCTTCAAGTGACTTACTAACATTATTGAAACTTTTAGGGAAAAGTGAACACCAGATGAGTGATATGTCATTAAAAAAACTGAAAGAAGTGGTTGGATCATGTGATGCAGATGTTATTCATTTTTGTGAAAAGTGTTTCACAATTTTTCCTGAAGATTTGGACGTGTACAAGTGTACACAAGATGGATGTCCTGGCCTTCGATACAAAGGCAGTGAAAGAAACCAAGTTAAGAAACAGAAAAAAAGTTTCTTTACAAGTCTATCAGTAACAAGGCAGATAAAGAACCTACTTGAGAGAGAAGGTGTGTGGGAAGCAGTAGTGAATTACAGAAGAAAATGTTCCGAAGAAAACTTTATCTCAGACATTTTAAATGCAGAAGTATGTAAAGATTTGCAGAGCAAAGGAAATTTCTTGGATAGTGAAAATAATTTGTCATTAATTTTCAATACTGATGGAATTCCACTCTATCAGTCATCAGGAATAAGTTTATGGCCAGTGTATTTGGCAATTAATGAGCTTCCTCCATCTATGCGTTTTTCACGCAAAAACATGATATTGTGGGGTGTATGGCAGGCTCGTGGAAAGCCAGTTTTCCAAACTTTCTTCCAGCCTTTCATAAAACACATGGTGCAGCTGAAAGAAAGAGGAGTTGTTTGGAATTATCATGGGCAAGAAATCTGCTCCAAAGCAATACTTTTGTTAGGAACAGTAGATCTTCAGGCAAAGGCCTACTTGGCGGAAATGACCATGTACAATGGTAGACATGGTTGCATTACATGTGAGGATGAAGGTAATTTAAGTCTAAACTTGATTGAAGAGTTTTTAATACATTCACTACAAAGTGTGATAAAATAATAAAAATACAATGGAAAAGGAATTTCTTATAAAATTTATTAGGCATATTTACCCTTTAATTTTTAAGTTTGCATAACTTGCAATTGACAATGGTTTTACTATTCTTTTACAAAGGAGAGGTTGTGAAACAGGGGAAAGGCCACACAAGAGTCTATTCATTCAAAAATGTGCATGAACGGACCATTCGAACAACTACAGGTAAAGTACATTAATAGAGTTCAATTTTTATTTTACACTTTTGAGAAACAAAACAAATCAATGAGTAATTTTGAAGTCATTTATTTTGTTGATGGTCTTTTTGCTTAAATATCAAAATTTTCTTTACTGAATAGGTCTCCTACAAAAAGGACTATTATCTATGGAGAGCGGAAATGTGGAAATGGGTATTAAGGGTGTATCTCCTTTACTTGGATTGGATTGGTTTGACATGGTACATGGAATGGTGCCTGATTACATGCACGGTTTGCTCCTTGGAGTGACCAAAAAATTACTTTCTCTTTTGTTTTCACCGTCAAATTCTAGCAAACCATACTTTGTTGGCAAAAACATCAAAAGTACAGACAAAATTTTAAAAAATATGAAACCAACGGATCAAATTTCTCGCTTACCCAGGAAAGTTGAAAAAAATCTTCATCATTTTAAGGCTTCTGAACTACAAATGTGGCTGCTATATTACTCAATACCATCTCTAATCAACTTTCTACCTCAGGAATACTTGCAACACTTAGGACTCCTTGTAGAAGCCAGCTATCTTCTTCTATCAGACAAGATAACAGACCGAGATTTGCACAGAGCAGACTATGTCCTTGCCGAGTTTTACAGAGAATTTGCAAATTTATATGGTACAAACAATTGTACCCTTAACGTACATAATGTTGGCTGCCATTTAACAATGTATGTTCGAAAGTTTGGACCATTATGGGCATGGTCCTGTTTTCAATTTGAAGACATGAATGGCTTCATCCTGGATTCCGTTCATGGTACAGGGGATGTTTGTTTGCAAATAATGTGGATGGTTCAAGCCCAAAAACGACTTTCTGTGGATGCCTCACACATTTCTAATCCAAGTTTCAAAACTTTTGTGGAGGAAATGATGAATTCTAGTAGGAAGACAGTTACCATCAAACAAAGAGCTGAGAATTGTCTAATAGCGGGGGGGATTACAGACATTTCTGTCGAAAATCTTCGTTTAGAAAATGATATCCGTGCATTGTTGGATATTGAAGGTGATTTGGGAAGGTTATCAAAAGCACTCAGGATTGTACGTGGAGATGTGGTGTTTTACAGTGAACATTACAGCCGTATGAAAAAGAGGATTGCATATGTTGTAACAACAGACCCTGAAGGAGCCTCTGGAATAAATCTTGCAGCAGTTCAGTTTTTCATTCTTCACCATGCAACTAAGAAATGTTTTGCAGTTGTTCACCCTCTTCATATCCATGAAGACAGTCCTTATGTTCATGATGAAGTACACCATCTTATCCGAGTTGAGAAGAGAGACACACAAGAGAAAGTGATCCTTGTTGAAAACATTTGTGAAAAAGTGTTGTTTCTTAATGGAAACAAAGATTGTGCTTGCATTGCTCGATTGCCAAATTTATATGGGTTATGCTCCTAAACAAAGTACTGTTTTTAAACTCTTAAGTGTTATTTAATAATAGAATATTTAGATTTATTCAAATCAACTTGCACTGTATTCTATCAAGCAAAACTGTCTTTTGTGTTGTTAGTTGCTTGCTTTAAACTTTCTAAGACATAAATATTCTTTATTCAAGTATACATGGAATTTTGTCATTCTTAATTTATAAGAATTAATTGTTTCAACATCCAAAAATTTTTTTCATGACAGCTTTTGGAGTCAAATATACCATTTTCATGATTGTTGTTTTGTAAGAAATGTTTTGAGCCTGAAACATTCTTTTTTCTTATAGTTTGTTTTATCTGAACTATGAAGCAATCTTATCAAGATAATCCAGAAGTGTAGAACCATTTGTTTATATAAATGCAAGGCTTTGACTCTGTACATATAAATATCAAAAAGTCCTGTTACCCTCTTCAAAGTCCTGTATAATCCAACTTCATTACTTTTAAGATTTTGAGGGCAATTGCAAGACTTTACTCTGGACATACTCTCATCAATAAGTCCTGGAAAGCAATGTAAAGTCCTGCATTATCCTGAGTTTATCATGTGTGAGACTTTAAGGGAATTTGTAGGACAATTTTTTCTCTAAATTTCGTTATTAAGTCCTGAAAAGCAGAAGAAAGTCCTGCAAAAACCTGCTGCTATGGCAGTGGGATTTTACAGGACATTTGGTTATGAACATGTCCTACAAGTTCCTGTACAGTCACACTTGATGTAAGTGGGATATTCCAGGACAAATGCAGGAACATTAAGTCCTCTATTATCCCTTTGCATTAAGACATGGGAGAAGTGGGACTTGAGAAGGAAATCTCAGGACTTCCAGGGATATCCTTCAATCATTCAAAAAAGTGGGATTTGTTTTTGGAGGGGTAATAAGTAAAATTTCCTGAAGTGAATTTAGGTCAAAACAAATGTTTATCAATGTTGGATCACATTTAATATTTGCACCAGCTGTCATATGAATAAATATTGGACAATCTACTGGTAGAATTCATAAGTCAATATATCATAATATTTTATGTGTCAAATTTTACAGACAGAAAAACAGGAGACCAAAAGCTCTGCTGATTCAGGAATACACATTCCATCTGATTCAGGAACCCCAACGGTACATGTAATTTGATTAAATGAAATTTATTTTTAAAAACTAGGAATTAGCATTTTAAAAAAAACAAAAATGATATTTTCTATAATAACAAAATCTATTTTCTTAGATTGTTTTCAACAAAAATGCTGATAGTGTTTCAAGATCCCTGAGTATCAGGTAAGTTGATCTGTCATCTTAAGGTAGCTTGCGGGTTTGCTGACATAGGAGAAAAACGTATCTAACTGCGCTCATGTATAACTTTTTATAAGATGCAAAAGTCAAGTTGCATGACCTTCCCCATTATAAATTTTCTGAATCAGATGTTGTTTATACCTAATTGATGTGAAAACTCTGAACCTTTTATAATGCTACTCGTCTACCTGATCGCACATACATGTACATTTTGATATGCATGTTTGACATGACTGTATTTGCCTTTGTTGCACATTAATGTGATTATATATCATTAATTTTGCTAGTTGTAATTTCAACGGATGTTAATTTTCAAAGTTAAGTTTTCACGATTCTTTTGAAATTTTGGCAATAACAATGTCACATGGTATGTAAGCGAGTCTTGTCCAGTCTGCTTAATTTCTTCATATACATGCATGTAATTATCCTGTATTGTACTAGGGCCCGCCCATTTTATTCATTTTTAATAATTAAAAAGACGGGGTCACAAAACAGAATGGAATTCAATTTTACTGGGTCTAAAAATAATACTGATTACTAAATGCATCAGTCATTACAATAAGAAAATATCTGATCTATAGATACTAATCAGGATATATCAATTATATGCACTCTTAATTGGATCAATTATAGAAATCACGATTGATTTTTTAATTCATCATATTACTAAAAATGGGCTGCTGACATATAAGACCTCATCCTTTAATAGACACTAATTTCTATTCTTTAAGGCTGCAAAGATGTTAGTTTGGATTTAAATTTGTGTAAAATCTTCTCTTTTTTTAACTCTGATTAGGTGAAAATTACATGGTCAGAATCTTTACATGTGTAATGGTCTCGGACCATTATGTCATGAATAACGTATTTCATGTCATTCTGAGGTCAGCAGAAATATGTGACGAGCAAATCTATAGATAAAATCAAAATAATTTTGCATTTTTAGTTCAATTTTAGGAAGCATATTAAGATATGCAGAATTGCAGAAAGAACTGAAAAAGTCTTAATATTCCATGAATATATATTTTATTAAAAAAATTAAAGATTTTAAAAATTCTTTCATTATCTATATATAGCTATTCACTTCTACATTTTTAATCAGCATCTTTATGGATACATGTAACTTATAAACCGGTATGTACATATTCACATTTGCAAAAGTACCGGTATGTGTGCCATTGAAAAATTAATATCTTTTTCTGCTTTCTCCTGCAGGAATATGACAGCTGAAGAAATTCTTAAACAACTAAGAAATAATATAAAAGTTGATGGTAAAAAAAATATTATTAATGTGGACAGGAACAATGTGTTGGCCACTAAAGATTCATTCAGAAGAGAAAAATTCATGGCTGACCAGCCATTATTTGTAAGATTTTCGGGAGAAAAAGGAATTGATGACGGTGGTCCATCAAGGGAATTCATGAGAATGATTATGAAAGCAGTGTCGGAGTCTGCAATATTTGAAGGGGAGTCCAGAAGGAAGATGCTGTTGCAAAACCTGTTAGGTATCTATAGTTTTGATATTAATTTGTAATAACAGTATAGGGTAATGGTAAAAAAAAAATTGTAAGATTTATGATCCTCATCCCCATGCAGGGCCCATAAATTTGGGGCTACCGGTAAACTGTAAAAAAAAAAAATGCTTTGTCTTTTTTGCTCTCTATATTCCTTGGCATCAGAAAAGTAAGTGCCTTGTTACGGTGTTCAGGAAAGACAGCCGCGATCTCTAAATTTGTGGAATTTGTGATCCCAGAATTAGGGGTATACATGTTATTCTGGTGTTGTGGTGGACTCAGTCCATTAATCATATAGTAAATTTACATTCATTCTTTAAAAATCTGTTTCTCGATCCGCTTCTAGGTTTTATCATAATTGTGGTTTTGATGAGCAAACAAGTATCTACCAGATGAGTGAAATTCCATAACAGCTACTATTATATAACCTTCACCTACTCCCCCTTTCCTCACTCCTCACTCCAGTTTTTTTATGAATAGTCAAAAACTTGAATGGGTTTGAAATCTGTAATTGTTTTTCCATCACATTATGACTACCTTATTTTAGCTGAAGAGAACGGTGATTATGAGACCTATGGGATGATAATAGCTTATTGCTTGGTGCATGGTGGACCAGCACCAAGATTTATGTCAGAGTTCATGTTTGGGCTTTTGGCCTATGGGCCGGATTCAGCAGATCCAACCATAGATGACATTGTTGATGATGAATACAAGAAACAAGTTCAACAGGTATTTTTGATTTATAAATCAAATTAATCCTCGTTTGCATGACAGTTATTTTTTATCAAAATACCACTGTAATTAAGGTTTGTGTATGAGTAAATTTTCTGTATATAATTATAATTGTTTTTAGCTCTACTGGTCAGAGACCAGAAGAGCTTGTGCAATAGTAACATGTCCGTCGTCCGTCCTTCTGTCTGTCTGTCTGTATAAACAATTTTTCAAAACGCTACTCCTCCTATAGTTTTTGTTGGATTTCAGTATAACGTACGTGGCACAGAAGTAGACTTAACATTAAGATACATAATTCTATTTATTGTTTCATGTTGCAAAGCTTCAAATCCAAGTGCTACTTTTCCTTTGTTATACGTACAGACCAGTAGAGCTTCAGTCTCATCAGAGACTTCTGGTTTTTAAATGCAGTTATTTGTAACACTTTCAATTTCTATCAAATAAATTGCAAAAACAATATTAATGAATGGCCTGAACTAAATCCTGCATATTCATATTATCAAATATTTACCCTCATTAATCAAGGATATCTCCCATGTTTTAAATTTTTGTCCCCCACTTTAAGGAAAGTGAGGGGACATTAAATCTCATTCATCTGTCTGTCCGTCAGTCTGTAAGTCTGTCTGTCTTTCACAAAAACTTTAACCTTGGTCATATCTTTTGAATGAGAAGAGATAGGACTTTCATATTACACATGTGTATTACCTGTGACAAGACCTTTCTAATACATTATGATTTTTGACCCCATGACCTTGACCTTGAAGTTTGACCTACTTTTAAAAAATTTAAATATTACTTTAAATTGTCCATAACTTTTGAATGAGAAGAGATAGGGCTTTCATATTATACATGTGTATTACCTGTGACAAGAATTTCCAAGTATGCTATGATTTCTGACTCCTTGACCTTGACCTTCATGTTTGACCTAATTTTCAAAAAATTCAACTTTGGTGATAACTTTTGAATGACATATGATAGGGCATTCATATTTGACACAATATGCTGTAAATACATATAATGACATCTCACCCACAAAGACACCAAAAGCGGGGGACCCCAATTTTTTTGAAATTGTTTGTTGATATTACACTGAATGATTGGTATCTATATTACCCATTACCTGTCTGCTCAGTTCCTGTGTTGCTAAATTGGTGGCAGATATGTTTCCAAAAGAAAAATCTTTGTTTCAGATTGAAATGTCAACAGATATTTCATCTTTTTTTGATGCTGTTGATCCAATGAGGCCACTTTTGGATTATATTGGTGCTCTTCCATTAGCTGTGCCAAAAAGAAAAAATGAGCTTGTCCATGCTTTATGTAGGCATATAGCTGTAACATTGAGGATTGAGAAGTCACTTAAACAGTGATTTTTATGCAACTGTGTGTGCTTTTTACCTCACCTGTATATAAAATGCTAGAAATAGACTTGAATGCAAGGATCTCTTATTAAGTAATGAACCTCTATTAACGGTTATTTGAATGACTTTAAAATATATGGTTTGGAATATATGATTTTATTAAAAGGGTTGGCAAGTTAATTAATTATAATTAAAAAAAAAGTTATAGTTTATTGTATATGGTAATTGCTTTTTCCTGGGGTAAAGTCAGCGAGGCAAAATAGGGGTTGACTTGTTACCACAGGATGAATTAAGAATTTTTATCTCAAAATCCTAATTATCTTGTTTTACAGATTCACCAAAGGTCTACAATGCCTTGGTGTACTTGACAGGATTAGAAATTATCCTGATGCCATGAGAGGACTCTTTGTCCATAAAAGCGACCTTCTTCTTGATGCAGTGGAAATGGACAACATGTTCCTTGTTGAGTTCTCTGAGGAAGGCAGTAACAAGTATATAAATGAATTAAGAATACAGACTTACTGGAGAGATTATTTAGTTGAAATAGAAGGTATTTATTGTAAATGATAGGAATAGGATCGAGACTTTTTAGCTCACCTAAACTGAAGGTTCAAGGTAGCTTTTCTGATCACCTGTTGTCCATCTGTCTGTCCGTCTGTCTGTAAACTTTTCACATTTTTGACTTCTTCTCTAAATACTAGAACCACTGGGCCAATGTAACCAAACTTGGTACAAAGCATCCTTATGGGAAGGGAATTCTAAATTGTTAAAATAAAGGGTGAAACCTTTTCAAAATGGAGATATATAATCACAAAACAGTGAAAATAAGGTGTGTGTCTTTAAAAATCTTTTTCTCAAGAACCACTGCATCAGAAATGTCAATAATTTATACCAAAGCTTGAACATGTTTATATAGTGAAGATTCTTATTTGTTAAAACCATGACCCCCAAACCAATTCAGGGACCCAAAAGATAACAAGATGGGTCAGTTGAGGTCAAAATTAAAAAAAAATGTTTGTTTGCCCTTTTCCGACCCAGATTTTTAATGATGGGTAGGTAGGTAGGAAAAATATTTTATTTTTTCTTCTTAAAATTATAACAAGAAGCATAAGGGTCACAATGCTCGACTGTGTCATTTTGCTTAATTGCTGCTCTTCAGAAGGTTGTTTTTGAAAAATCTTCCTTCTACATTCCCGTGAAAGATTGTGGGTCCAAGTCTCATGACATAATCAGACTTTAATCTTCGATCATTACATGAAGATTCTGAATATCAGTATGACTAATGTGGCCTTGCTATTCTTAAGGAAAAATGTTCAGTGATTTTATTATTATATTATTATTATATAAATAATAATTATTATAATACATGCATTAATATTATATTATTATATATATTATTATTATGTAAAATTAATCCCCAATTTTAACCCCAACCTAACCCTAGTGTCCCTCTTTGAGCAAACTTGAATCCTCAGAACATGTAGATTTCACACCCTAAATTCTCACCTTTGCGTGCAGTAAATATCCAAGGCGGCAAGGGCTGTATGCACTGAATGAACAAAAAAGCTAGTCTAGGATTACCACAGATTTAGAAAATTATATTTATTTTTAATGCTACTAATCAAAGCATCTAAAATACCTCAACAAAGTTTTTAAATGGATTAAAACAAATTAGGTTGAAATGATTCAATAAAAAATTGTAAATGTAAAAAGCAATAAAATATTTTGAGTCGGGCTGATCTTTGTGGGTCGGTTGGCTAAGGGCAAACAAACAATATTTTAATTTAGGCCTGATGCATCTTTGATCTTGGGATATTGATGTCCAAAAAAGTAGGCTTCTTTTTATACATTGTTTTTATGTATTGTCACTTGGAATATATTTGAGAATTTTGGTGAGTTTAACAGTCTTTTAGAAGAGTTTCATGTTTATAAATTTCGACAGAGATACAAGAATTGTTGTTCAGCTGCGATGTGGCCCATGGGCCTCTTGTTTAAGATTGTATGCATATATCTGTGAACGATTACGGGTTCTCAACACCTTTAGGAAATGTATTCAAATCAGCACAACTGAGATTTTACCTTGAAGATGTATGCATGTCAAGCATTTATCTTCAGAAATGAAAAAAGTACTAGGAAAATAGCAATTCGGGATTCTAAAATGATCATCAAAGACCCTTTTATTCAAGTAATCACATATCCATTCTGAATTAATTCAAACTCTGGATCTGTAAGTCAGTTAAGTATTATAAATGTCATTTCCATTGAGCTATAAAATTATACCTGAAACAAATAATTTCACAAGATGATGAAGTGCCCATTGTATGGTGACATCTTAAAAAATAAAATTCACAGGTTTTTATAGGACTTTTATTGTGGAATGTCAAAGGATAATATTTTCATGAATATCTAAATTATCACATACCGGTACTTTCAAAGATTTTTACTAATAATATATAGTTAAGGTGCATTTTAGCTTACTTTGCACATATATATATATATATATATATATGCATGAATTGCTATTAGTAAACAAAATTATCAAAAGTTGACTATTGCTATTTTAAAACCTATAGTTTTTATTTGTAGATACGCCGGACAAATTCAAATCTATCTTGGCTTTTGTCACTGGGTTGGATTCAGTTCCACCTTTGGGGTTTTCTCCACCACTCAAATTAAAGTTTCGTCATCCAGAAGCAGAAGAAAATTTCAGTGTGTTTGCTACCCCTTATGCAAACACATGTTCCAACACTCTGAGCATTCCTGTCACCGAAACATACAGTGCGTTCAAAGAAGTCATGGACAATGCACTAGATTTGGGTTGTTTATTTACTGATTATTGAGAAATGTTAGGTGGTGTATATATATCCATGTGTTTAACTCACAGGTTAGAGTTAAGATATTAAAGTGTGCATGTGTTCAGATTGTATTTAGGTTTTATGATGTGTATTTTAAAAAGTCAAAAAACTTTTTAATATTTACAAAATTGTTCACTGATTGAAATTGTGTGAATTAATTGTGAAATGAAAATGGCAAATTTTTACTCATTTTGTTTCAGTTGGTATTAGCTGGACTTTTAGCAAGCTATTCAATATTTCACTATGGTACAATTATATTTACTTTTATTACTTTATAACTAGTCAATTATTTTCAATACAAATGTGATACAAAATACTGATATTTTCTTAAAATGATAGTATGATATCAGTTTCTTTCATTACATGCCCCCCCCCCCCCCCCCCCAAAAAAACCTCATTGTATTATAAGAAATTATTAGAGTATTAAGGACATGCATGTTCAAATTATGGAAAATTTTCATTGTATAAAGCTATAACATATTGAAGCTTTTTGCTTCAGAAAATGGTCACAAAATTAAAATCTTAATAACACCAAACTTCTGGTTTAGGATAGGGCAGGACTTTAACTAATGTGTTATTGTCATGACAATACAATGTACCTGAAACACCAAACTGTTACTGTTAACATATCCAGGCCAACGAAGCACCTGAAAGGTTTATTATCATGAACTGGGAATATAAAATAGTCCATGAGAGTGAGAGAAGTTTGCTTTTACATGTATTATAAGAGAATAATATGGACAGTCAAGTGATAAATTAGGTTATTGGACTAGAATATGTTGCCCATATAGGCAGTTCATTTTTAGTTTAACTGTGATCAGAATTTTTATATCTATGTTTCTGCTTGTTTAGTTGCACTTTGAATGTGCAAATTTAAAGCTACAAATAGTAGTGTGTACCAATATTCTTATGATTGACAATAAAATTTCAAATTTTGGCCGAGTTTTTTTATGCCCCGGGATCAAAAGATCCCGGGGGTATATTGTTTTTGTCCTGTCTGTCTGTTGTCAACTTTAACCTTGCCAATAACTTTTGATTGGTTGAAACTATGACTTTCATATTTCATATGTGTATTCCTTGAGACAAGACCTTTCTTTGGGTACCATCATATTTGACCTTGGAGTTTGACCCACTTTTGCAAAATTTTATGAGACTTTAACCTTGGCCAAAACATCTGAACAGTTGGTGTTTGGGGTTTTCAAACTTCACATGTGTATTCTTTGTGACAAGGCCTTCCTTTGGATACCAACCACTTTGACCTTTTGACCTTGGAGTTTGACCTACTTTTGAAAAACATTAACCTTGGCCATAACTTTTGAATGGTTGGTGCTAGGGCTTTCATACTTCACATATGTAATCCTTGTGACAAGACCTTCCTTTGGATACCAACAACTTTGACCTTGACCTCGACGTTTTACTTACTTTTAAAAAACTTTAACCTTTGCCACAACTTTTGAACAGTTGCAGCTAGGGCTTTCAAATTTCACAGGTATATTCCTCGAGACAAGACCTTTCTTTGGGTACCAACATTTTTTATCTTTTGGCCTGGATTTTGACTTGCATTTGAGAAACTTTAACCTTCATCATAAGCTGCCATATGGGGGCATCAGTGTTTCACAAACACATCTTGTCTTCTTTGTAAAAAAGAAAATTCAGAAATAATGAGTTCACAAATTAAGTCTACTATTTTCTATAAGGAGGAGTCACAGTTCTCAAATCAATGGCAATTGAATAACTGCAGAGTCTGATTGTACAAAACTGAGATTCTTTGATCCTCAGCCATATAAATTTCATAGTTAATTGTTATTTGCCAATATGTGCATTTTGAGTTCATGTTTTAAAATCAAACAAAATGATATGACTCTAGTGTATCATGGCATATAATAAACTTATGTACATGTATCACATTTGCTCATTTGAGATGTAAATTAATAAGGAACAAGAGGCCCATGGGCCACATCGCTCACCTGAGCACATTGGCTAGGCAAAAGCACTAATAAGTTCTGTATTGAAATGATTCCCGGGGGGGGGGGGGGGGGGGGGGGCTTGAATTTTAAACTACCTGATGATGCTTCCATGTCATCATGTCATTATAACACATGTACTTGAGAAGATTTTTAAAAAAAAATTTCCCATATATTCCTTTGTAAAAAATTTGATCCCCCATTATGGCTCCTCCCTATCCCAGGGGTCATGATTTGAACAAACTTGAATCTACACTACCTGAGGATGCTTCCATATCAATATGACTAAACACAGCTTTTCTGTTCTTGAGAAGAGATATTTTTTCTATATGTTCTTATGTAAAACTTTTGATCCCCCATTGTGGCCCCACCCTATCCCCTGGGATCATGATTAGAACAAACTTGAATCTACACTACCTGAGGATGCTTCCATATAAATATGACTCATCATGGCTTTGCTGTTCTTGAGAAGAAGATTTTTAAAGGTTTTTTCCTATATATTTCTATGTAAAACTTTGATCCTCCATTGTGGCCCCGCCCTACCCCCGGGGGTCATGATTTGAACAAACTTGAATCTACACTACCTTAGGATGCTTCCATATCAATATGACTAAACACAGCTTTTCTGTTCTTGAGAAGAAATATTTTTTTCTATATGTTCTTATGTAAAACTTTTGATCCCCCATTGTGGCCCCACCCTATCCCCTGGGATCATGATTAGAACAAACTTGAATCTACACTACCTGAGGATGCTTCCATATAAATATGACTTATCATGGCTTTGCTGTTCTTGAGAAGATTTTTAAAGATTTTTCCTATATATTTCTATGTAAAACTTTGATCCTCCATTGTGGTCACGCCCTACCCCTGGGGGTCATGATTTGAACAAACTTGAATCTACACTACCTTAGGATGCTTCCACATGTGTTTCATCTTTCCTGGCCCTGTGGTTCTTAAAAGATGCTATTAATTTTTCACTAATTCTTTATTATCTCCCCTTGAAAGAGGGCGTGCCCCTTCATTTGAACAAACTTGAATCCCCTTTACCCAAGGATACTTTGTGGCAAGTTTGGTTGAAATTGGCCCAGTGGTTCTTGAGAAGAAGTCGAAAATGTTAAAAGTTTACAGACAGACAGACGGACAGACAGACAGACGGACGCCGGACAAAAAGTGATCAGAAAAGCTCACTTGAGCCTTCAGCTCAGGTGAGCTAAAAATGTTTGAATTGAGATTTGTGTAAATTAAGAATTGCGTCAAATTATATTGGAAGGTCAAACTCTCTTTGAACATAAGTCAGATATTCTTCATGTTACCATTTACCCAGTCATTTCTAATTACCATGTTGTAATTGAAAGAACGCAATATTATTTCCAAGATACAAGCCAAATCTGTGATATAAACAAAACATGTCCTGATCAATAAGTTATCAAACATTGCTGAGGAGCAAACATCGTTAATTAAGACAATCAAATAGCTTTCATTACATCAGACAAAATTATAGGTGGCCTTTAGGGTCAGATGGCTTTTGGTGTAGCAATGAATTGAAATACAAGGTTCATGGGGGGTTGAAATGACTGTCTTTCAGTTTCTGAAATAATAAGTGCATGAAACTCCTTTTGGATGTAACCATGCAGGTTGGAGTCATTAAGACTTGTGAATTATAGAGAGACATGGCAGTCAAGTATATGATTGTATAGGCTACATTGTATGTACAATGTCAGTGGAGACTGCAAATGTAGAGCATTTGACTTAAAATGCAAGGGTTATATTAGTTGGTTGAAATTAGGAAATTTACTTCATGGCCAACTACAGTTGATCTTGGTAGTTTAATTTCCTTTGTACTAATTTATCTAAATGAACCATAAATAATTACAGTTTCCCTTTTTTAAAACTTTATTCCAAATTTATTCTGATAACAGAATTCTACCATACAGCCATGTGCTGGATAATTAAATGGTGTTCATCAGCAAAAAATTATATCATATTCAAGCATTTAAGTAAGATAAGAGCCATTCATACAAAGCAAGTGCTTCACTATAATTTGTTGGCAACAACAGGGAATTTTCAAGTATAATGTTTTTACATTCCTCTTCAAAGTCTGGTAAACATCCAAAAGCACTTTGGCGAATGCAGAATTCTTCAGCTGCATCCACATCAGCAATGTCTATCTCCATCTTAAAATTGTGTGTATCTGCAGAATAAATACAAATTAAGGTTAGGAACATATCACAGTGACTTCTCTCCTTATCCACTCTAATATGGTCTATAGATTTGGCCAGTTTTGGTCTGGGACCCAATTTATCAAAAGGTTAACAAATGACATGAAGGTGATGGATAAGTGGTAGGGTGTATGCTTATATTTAGTTGGTCGTAAAATATTTCAAGCATTATTTTAGTCATATATAATGATATCATACTAAGTTATAATGTCTGGCACACTTTGGGATCTCCACCTTGACAAATCCATGAACCAGATCTGATACAATTATGATACCTAATAATACTTTATGCTAGACATAAATGTTAAATGAAAGGTGTGTGCCTTGTAATGAAATGGGTCAAGTGTTTTACCAGTGGAAGAACATTTTAGAGTAATTCCTGAAAAATGGACCTTGGATTAAGAGGAGAAAAATTATTTACAAAGATTATCAATAATCTATTTATTTGACCTTGAAACTCAAAGCATTTAATCTTTATTCCCTAATGCACTAGGTTACATTGGACCAATAGAGAAAATTAAAGGCATACTCCAAGAGAAGTGGAATTTTTAAATTTTATACCTTAATTTGTAATTCTTTGACATATTGGACCTAGCTTAGTTAATTTTCTCAAAATACTCCATTTGTGAAGTACTGGTACATGCAATTATCGATATTAGAACAAATAAAAACACCAGACTTACGAACTGTAATTATCAACTTTGACCAAGCTAACATTATATTGCTATATACAATTTACCTACCCGGTACTTTGACCGAACTAACCTTATATAGCTATATACAATTTGCTTTGATCTTGATGTATGCAAATTAAAATTAGGAGAAATAAGACATATATTTCCTTAATTACCATATAACTCTGGAAGATAATACATCAAATCTGGTTTTCCACCAGGCAGTCCTGCAGACTTTGTGTGTCGAATTCTGTGTTGACTCCACTCTTGAGCACATTTATTTAGATCATCTTGAACAAGTTTTGTGAACATTCAGACATTCCCTGTAATTAAGATGCAGTGTTCTTTTTCAGCAGAAAACTAATTTATGCAATTGTTTCTCTGTTT